CTCCTTCCTCCTTGCCCCTGAATTGTCCTTTTTGCTCTGGTTGACAAATCTCTACAGCAGCAAGACCAAGCTGTCCTACCCTCAATTCCCATTTCTGTCTGCTAAGACCTTCCTACCCTGATGAGGACCCTTCTGGTGGATAGACAGCAATTCCCCACATCTGGCCATTCACACCCGTTCACAGCACTCTCTACATTCACTTCTTTGTAGCCTTTAGCTCAACCGTGTTTCCATATTTACAAAAGCAGAGTGTGACCTTACCAATGGGAATGGGCCCACTGCAAGGAGCCAAACAAAATTAAATAGTGACTTGGGTCTGAGACGACTTAGATAGCAGCCGTCCATGATCTTTGTGCTTCAGTCTTGCCTCATAGAATCTTTACAACAGCAGGGACCTCTTCTGACTTTTCAGGCTGTAATCTCAATGCCTGACACAGGGCCTGGCGCCTACAAGATGCTCAATAAATAATTGCTGATATATTTGTGTGATTAAGTGTTTAGGCATCGGCTTTATCCTGCTCTTTTTTAATTCATAAGGTCTTTCTTTCAGTGGACTAGGCTTTTCCTGTCCATGATGAGGCTGAACGAATTAGCTGGAGCGGGGGTGGAATTTGCTGCCAAGGCCAGAAGGGCTGGGCTAGGAGAGGCTTCCCCCCGCCTCTTGGTAATGGGGTATTTTGTGAGACATGCTGGGCATTCAGATTCCTCCGAGAAGTCAGAACAAGAGGCAGGGACCTGTTGCTTTGGACAGGGATTTAGAGGAGGTCCAGGAATGACTGACAGGTCTCTTCAGATGAGTCAAGAGCCACCTAGCTATGTTGGCCACACAGAAGTGATGGCTGAGCTGAGAATAAGGAGACAGTGAGTCGTTTTTCCTCTGCGTTAACATTTGTACCTAAAATTTTTTAAATCTTTATTGTTGAAAGTATTATGTATGTCCCCCTTTTCCCCCCATTGACCCTTTCTAGCCCAACCCCACCTCCTGTCCCAGGCCTTCACCACCCTATTGCCTGTGTCCATGGGTTATGCATATATGCATTCAAGTTCTTTGATTGATCTCTTACAACCCCCACCTACCCTCTGAGATTTGACAGTCTATTCCATGCTTCTATGTCTCTGGATCTATTGTGTTCATCAGTTTATTTTATTCATTAGATTCCACATATGAGTGAGATCATGTGATACTTGTCTTTCTCTGACTGGCTTATTTCGCTTAGCATAATACTCTCCAGATCCCTCCATGCTGTCTCAAAGGGTAAGAAAGCGATCCTTCTTTTTTACTGCTGTACCTAAGAATTAAGTGCTAGGACAATTTAAAGAGACAAAAAATGCAAACAAAGACCATCATGTCCCTCAGTCTGGGCTCTGCAGCCATCAGGATGGACCAAGATGCTCACATATGGGCTTCCCGGGGACTGAGCGTGATCCCCACTCTCCTCCCAAGCAGAGAGCAGAAACTGATCAGGTCAGAAACCAAAACTAGTATGGAGCCTGCAAATGTGTTGAACATTAAATTCAAACAAGCATTTCTGTGAACCAAGAAACAATGTAAGTTCCACTAACATTTGACCCTATGTTGGATGCTATGCATAGATGAGATAAAAACATATTGTTCCCTCGAGGAACTTAAAACTAGAGTGGGCTGGACTTTTGTCTGAAATTTACAGGAAACAGCGAGGCATGTTCTCACTAAATGTATGAAATCTGAACACATCTGGACTATCTAAGCAGGCTCTGATCCAAGCCACTAGTTAATTCCGCTTGGCTCCCTGCAGTGGGCCCATTCCCGTTAATAGAGTTGCACCCTGCCTTTACAAATATGAGGAAGATTGAAGCTGATGCCCAGATAGGTCTGCTGATGGTCCAGCTGAAGATGGGCGGAGAGGGATCCACATGGGGCCCAAGGGGTTTCCTGTTCTCTGCTTTCACTTTCCTTTGTGGTGGGTAGGGAGAGGGTCTTGCCCCAGCTTCCTCTGGGATGGGCCAGCAGTCTGGCCAGGTATCTCTGAAATGTGCCTCCTCCCACCCCTCCCCTGGGAAGAGTCCCGGAGGAAGAAGCGCTTAAGGACCAGTCCAGCACTCAGCTGAGCCGTTTCCTCCCTGCCCAGCTCTCCCTTCTCCCGAGCACTGGAGCTCTGGTCCAGCTTCATAGGGTGAACTATGATGTGCATCTGGGAAGATGCTCCCTTACCAGGCCATCTACCTGACAATCCCACCCACCCTCCTCACAGGTCCTTTCCTGCGACAGCCAGGCTTCCTGTGCAGCTGAGCTATATTCCACTTCAACTGATAACCCTTTTACAATGGGCAAACCCCCTCTTTTAATGAACCAGGCTTTCTCTGTCCTTAGTGAGGACAGATCTTTTAGGAAGGGACCAGGAGGCTATGGGATTAGCTGGAAGTCAAGGGTGAAATTTGTTGCCAAAGCCAGAATGTAAATGCCTCTAGGAGCCCAGGAGAAGAGAAGGCACCGTGCCACAGCATCTGCCCTCCTGGATGTGAGCCTCAGGCCTGGCATACTTGCCCACGTACCCCATGATCTGCTTCCAAGGGCACCCTTCCAGGATGAGCTGGTGGCCTGGACATGCACAACCGATCCGATTGTATCGTTGCATGTGGAGTTCTTTTTTAATTAAACTTTTTATTTTGAGATGTATCTGGATTCCAGTGCAGTTGAAAGAAATAATACAACCCGGCTGGTGTGGGTCAGTGGTTGAGCATTGAAGAATGAACCAGAAGATCACAGTTGGATTCCTGGTCAGGGCGCATGCCCTGGTTGCAGGCTGGATCCCCAGTAGGGGGCGTGCAGGAGGCAGCCTATTAACGATTCTCTCTCATCATTGATGTTTCTATCTCTCTCTCCCTCTCCCTTCCTCTCTGAAATATTATATATATATATATAATAAAAACCTAATATACTAATTGTCTGACCCTTCTACTGTTTGACCATTTGCTATGACATGCACTGACCACCAGGGCGCAGACACTTCTGACCAGTAGGTTAACTTGCTGCTGTGCCAGAAGCCGGTCCATCCTTGCTGCTTGACACAGTCGCTGCAGGAAAGAAACATCTGCACAGCATATGTTTCAAGGGACCTGGCATATATAGCATATTGTCCTTAATATGTTTGCTTCTCCTTAGGGCCATGTGTTTTACCCAAGGTCACCTCTCTGAGAAAGGTTGTTTCCCCAGGTGGGGGATTTTTCCCTGAGGTTAGGGAGGAGATACAACCCCCTTAATTAAGTGCCAGGGCGGGTAGTTAAGCTACATAATTCTTTACTCCCTGGAAATGGAGGATAAGAAAACGCCCTAAACCTTTTGTAATAGAAATTGACAGGATTAAAATCGGCTGGGTATAAATACGGATGTAACAAGAACAATAAAACATCAGATCCTCATCAGTTCCTTAACCAGAACTCCGACCAAGAAACTTTGGGCTGGAGGATCCTGGGCTAGAGGATCCTGACTAGCTGCTGGATCAACTG